CAGGAGCTGATCCTGCTCCTGATTGCAGGAGAGCAGCGTACTCAGCGTGTGGGTAGCAGAGTTGGGATTGGTGGAAGAGGACTATAAAGGAGGAGAGAGACAACATGCACCAGGAACATCTAAGGGGAACACCTGAGGAACATCTGAGCAGCCCCCGAGAGAGCCGGCCGGCGGTGTGCCGCTCCCCCGCGGAAGTGGGGAAAGTGGCAGGGGGAACCGCCCTTCCACGGAGGTGGAAGGGTCGGTAGCCAACCCGGGAAGAACCAGCAGCAAACCCGGGGAGGGCCGAGCAGACAAAAGAACAGCGCAGGGTCCTGTGTCGTTCCCCCCCGAAGACGGGGAGCGACATAATGGTGCCGTGACTCGGATAGGAAACCTAGGCAGGGTTTAGTGTCGTTCCTCCATGAAGAGGGGGAGCGACATTAGTGAGCAAGCAGACATCTGTTAAACATCCAAAACCTTGTTGGGCAGAATCATAGAGCACTGTACTAGAGGCACTGTTGTGGTTTCTGCTTGTAGGGATTTTCTAATTTCAGGCAGACAACAAGCCTGGATAAAGAATGCATGAGGAAATAGTATTCATCTTCACTTAGGTCTGACGTTACTCAGCTTTTGAGGTGTAGATTGCAATGCCAGTGTTGAGGGTAAGCCACTCTGAGGTCTGTCCCAGAGGTAGTTGACAGTAGGTCCTCACATGGGTCTACAGAGGATACTGGGGAAATAATGCACAGGCCTCCCCCGATATGGAATATGAGTCTTATTTGGGTATGGGGTAGAAAGTACACAAACTTAAGTATGAACAAGTATTATTTCTGGTAAAATTTATGAACTAATGGGTTTTAATGCTTATGATTTTGTCTGAGGAGTAAAGCTAATGTACACTTTTGAATTTCATTTCAGTTTTTTGGAAGCAAAACTACCTTCCATGACCCTTCTGAAAAATTGCCTAGTATCTTTGTATGCTTTGTAGAAAGAATGAAAAGGGGTATCTTTGTTCTCCCCATTGTGCTGCCTGAAAACAAGCTTTGCTAGAATGTAGTCTTCATTTTCTAGGGGTTTTAGCATGTGGTCATAGGCAAATACAGAGTCCAAATAGGGGTGTGTTGCATTATTCTAAAAAACCCCTTCAGTACATATTTGCATACAGAGATGTGATTTCTGTAGCTGAATTCCCCAGTGGTTAGCACTACTAGACAGCCCTACACTCTCAAAACAGCATCCAAGAACCTGTGCACATTGAGCGATTATTAAGCAACCAGTATGTTGAGATAAACTGGTTTCTGAACTTCTCAGGTAGACTTTTTTTTTTTTTTTTTGGTTTACATCATGCCATGATGTCTTTCAATAAAAGGCTTACCTTCCAAAAAATGTTTTAAACAATGTTTAACACAGTGTATTTTTCTTAATTTATCTGTTGAGAACGCTCTTAACCTTAGCAACACAATTACTCATTGAGTACTTTCATTTTTATTTTTATTTGATTTCTATTTTGCGTAAACAAAGTTTTGTGTTCTGGAAGGGAATATGTAAGCAAGAATTGGAGAAAACTATAAACATTAAAGAATGTAATTAACATGTTAGAGTTGGCATTCCTGTTGCATCAAATTGGAGCTATTTTATAGAATTGGATCTAAAAGAATTATATATTTTATAGATGTTAATAATGCTCCTTACTGATTTTGCTATTCAGAATGCATCATTATTAGAGGAAAGCTATTAAGGTTGTACTGTGAATCACCAGTGAGAGAAAGAGAAAACATATTTCATCTCTAGTCCTGGAAGCAATCCATGTGTGCAGGCAGTATCCATTTTAACTTAGCCAGATCAGTTTCTCACCATGGACTTTTACTATTACAAAAATACTTTGCCTGATATTGCCTTTTTTGTGTTTAGTGAAAACTCAGAAGCCTTTGCCTTCTGGTCAGTGTTAGGGAGCTAAAAGCCCCACCTCGCTTGGCACCTGTGTTTTCCTGCTCTGCCGAATCTCGGAAGTGTGCTTAAGGGCAAGTGCCTCTTAGTGGTTTCTGAGCTAAGTCATGGGATGGGAAAGGACGGGGTCATCGCCTGCTGCACTTTTGAGAGGGAAATTCCAAAACTGAGAAAAAGGGAAAATAGAGAATGGGGAATGGAATTATGTGGGAAAGCTTACATCTGCATGAAACTTAAAAAGTTAACTCTGGATCCTGTTAATAAACTATTCCTTTCTTATTATGACAATAAAATGTGTCCACCTTTTAATGTATAAATATTATATACAAGATTCCTGCTGCTATTGCTACCAGATGGATCTTGCAAAATGTAAAGCTTCTGTTTTTATGTCACTTTCTTGGACATCTTAGTCAGGTCCCATTGCTTTCAGAAGGAAGTTTAAGTTCAAGACCTGTGTCTGTTATTCAGTAAATAGCTACTATATGCTAAGCATGTTCCTGGAGACACAGAGGTAATGTGGAGACTTCATGGGGCATCTTCTCCTTTTCTTTAACACGAACCTTCTGCTTTAAGCATGCTGGTCTCCTCTCTGTTCCCTCATTCCCTTTCCCCATTTCTGGACCAATCCCACTTCCTTCACTCTTCCCTCTGCCTAGTTAAACCTTGCCCCCATCCACCCCTGTTATGGAGGTAGCAGATGTCTGGTCACCTTTACTACCTTCCCTGACTGCGATAGCCCACAGAGCATCTTCCCTCTTCACTCCTGATAAATCACATGCATGTGGCTTACTGCAAATATTCAAAGTGCAGAGGGGTGCCAGTGTTTGGCACAGGAGTTAAGATGCCACTTGGGAAGTTCATGTTCCACATTTGAGTGCCTGGGCTCCAGTTCCAGCTCCTCTGTTGGCTCCAGCTTTTGGCTAATGCACCCCCTAGGAGGCAGCAGGTGATGGCTCAAGTAGCTGGGTCCTGCTACTCGTGTGCGAGGCTTGGGTTGAATTCTCAGCTCCTGGCTTCAGCCTAACCTTACCCCAGCTGTTGCAGGCATTTGGGAAGTGAACCAATGGATGGGAGATCTCTGTCTCTCTCTCTCTCTGCCTTTCAAATAAACTCAACAAGTAAATAAATAATTTTTTAGGAACTCTTAAAATATAGAATTAATTATTGTATTTAAAAAATAAGCCTATCGGCCGGTGCCACAGCTCACTTGGCTAATCCTCTGCCTGCAGCGCTGGCACCCTGGGTTCTAGTCCCAGTTGGGGTGCTGGATTCTGTCCCGGTTGCTCCTCTTCCAGTCCAGCTCTCTGCTGTGGCCCGGGAAGGCAGTGGAGGATGGCCCAAGTGCTTGGGCCCTGCACCCGCACGGAGACCAGGAGTAAGCACCTGGCTCCTGGCTTCGGAACGGTGCAGCGCGCCGGCCGTAGCGGCCACTTGGGAGGTGAACCAACAGAAAAGGAAGACCTTTCTCTATGTCTCTCTCTAACTCTGCCTGTGAAAAAAAAATAAGCCTATCATAGTATGCATATACTTGTTATTACTAATCTGTATGGTGCGTTATGCCTAATAATCATAAATTATCCCATTAATTTTCTAATAGGAACAGTTGAAACCTAACCTTTCCCTTTGGTGAAATTTAATATTTAGGAAGCTTTCATTGCAATGTTAACTTGGAAACTAAGAAATATTTTAAAGTCAGTGTTCATATAGTTGGCAGGCCAGGGAAGAGAAACCAAATTTAGTAAACAAGGATGTTATTACAATTTTGTGGAAAATACAATTAAAAGATAGGTTTACTTCAGCATAAAGAAATTTTGAAATGTATGCATAGTTTTTCATAATACACATTTCCATGAACTTTTTGGAAACTTAGCATAAGGATTTCCAAATGTTTTTGCATCAAAATAAACCTGTTTTCTTCCATTTTCTGTGAACTTTTTAAAGTACCTCTGTATGTTCAGTACAGCTCTAAAATACTTATATCAGACCATAAATAACTCAGATGCACCATTTTTGAGCAATTAAAAACCTAGGATACTAGTGAAATATTTTCCATTTCTTACCAGATAGTAGCTTTTAACTCCTCAAAAATGCACATTAGTACAATGTGAAACAAACATCTTAAACACCATTCCATGAAAGCATCAACAGCTGAGTCTAAGTGTACTGCAAATGAGTGATAAGGGGGTGAGGAAGAAAAGCATTAATTTCAGTAACTTCAGAAAACTGCATCTTAACTGGATGCTTGAGGGGCTAAGGCCAAAAAGGATCACTGTGCTCTAATTTGGTTCATGTGTTTTTCACAGGGATGTGGGTTAGCAATTCTCAAAATTATCTGTGTGTTTAGTAGAATTAAACAAGTAAATATGTTGTCCATAGCAAGAGCAGTTTCTTTCTATTCAACAATGGAGTAATAAATTAAGGAAGACTAGACCACAGCCTGAATGGTTGGATTGGAATCAGAGGTATCAGGATAAACTCTTGGTTTTTAATATGGGTACACAGAGATTGAGAAATACAGATGCAGGGGGTTAGTGTCTGTGCATTTATTTAAAGGGCCTAGAGGCAATGAAACCCTATCACATCCAGTACCGTTGTCCAATAAAGTCCAGAATCCTTGAACAAATAATTACAGTGCTGCAGAAGGGGAAACACAAAATGAACCCAGAGTACCTTGTACAGCAAGCAAATAAGGAAGTGCTAAAAAAAAGAATTAAGAAAAAAAATTGTTAAAAGAACACGAGAGCCAACCAATGTGGACAAGGATAGAACAATTTTAGCAACAAAACAAATAATCCTAGTATTGAACTTCAACCTACAGAATGAAATCACTAACCAAAAGTCCATACTTATATAAATGAAAAAGTGAATAAATAAAATAAGGGGGGAGGGAGATATGATAGTTCTTTCTTATAGAAGAGTTACAGTTAAATGAACATAGAAGGAAAATTCAAAATAAAAAATAAATTCAAAATAAAAAGTTGCAAGTAAAATTGAGTAAAACGTAAGGCACACAAGAAGAAGTATTCCAATAAAGATAAAATATTTGCTTCTTTCTACTGCAATTTCCACAGCGGAGCGGCTTTCAAACAGTTGGCTAGATGTTCGTCTTATTGAGAAATATGTAGACCAAGGTAAAAGTGGGACAAGAGAGTTACTTTGGTCCTGTGCACAGAAAAACAAAACCATCGGAGACCTTTTACAGATTCTCCAGGAGATGGGACATCATCGAGCTATCCACTTAATTACAAACCATGGTAAGCACTTATTCTTATCATGTGGCTCCAAATCCATCTTCAAGGAATTGTAATTTGTAAATGTAAATATTGCTTTATATCCAAGACATTGACTTGTCAAGGTAGGTCTGTGATTCCTTACCTATCACTTTTATCTGGAGGGGACCTTGCAACTTCACATTTTTTGGTGATTCTTTCCCCCCTTATTGACTAAAATTCAACAGAGTCCTTTCTACCACTTTACACTTTTGTTTTCTTTTTTTAAAACTGTTCATTACAACTTTACTTTTTAAAATATTTCATTTTTGGCAACCAATAGAATCAACTTTCTGACACAACTCTAAATCACTTTGAGTCCTAAACAATGAAGAAAGATAATGCTACCCTTTGTCTTGTTGTGTTATTTGAAGTAAAACTGTAATTGGCTTCCCTCTATCTTGGTGCAAATGATACCTCCAGAAGAAGCCTGGGACTTTCCTTTTAGTGCTGGTGTTAAGCCACAGCTCAACCTTGCTTGCTGACCATCCATTCCCCAGCACGCTCATTCTTTCCATTTGTCTTATTTGTTTTTGTGTCCTCACTTACTTAGAAAAATCTGATAAAGTTCACAAAGTCTTCTCTTTTTTCAGTAAAATAAAGTCTTAGTATCACCTGTTCTATTTATTCCACTGAGATTTATTCACTTCAACAATAATAATCTTGAGTGAGCCTTTTGTTGTAGATTCAGGGTTATTCAGATAGAAAATCTTTTATTCATTATCCTGTGGTTCTTCCATATATATATATATATGTAATATAATATTTATTTAGTTTATTTATTTTGAGAGGAAGAGATGTTTTCCTATCCACTGGTTTACTCCCTGAATGTCTGCCACAGTTGAGGTTTGGACCAAGCCAAAGTCAGGAGCAAGGAATTCCATCCCAGTCTCCCATGTAGGTGGCAGGAACCTAAGTACTTGAGCCAATACCTGATGCCTCCATGGGTCTGCATTAACAGGAAACTGGAATTAAGAGCAGAGACTGAATTGGAACACAGGCACTCCAGTGTGGAACACAGGTGTCTCAAGGGATGTCTTAACTGCTGGGCCAATGCTCATCCCAATCCAGGTGTATTCTCCATTCTGTATATTTGCACACCTGTTGTTTGTTAATATATTTAGTGTACATAAGCCTCTTCCTAACACCCAAATAAGCTTTGCACATATAAAGAAGAAATGTTGAGAGATTTGTATGAGAAAGCTGTACCTTCAGATTGATTTTTATTATGTAGATTTTTCATATTAACAGGATATTACTTCCTAGGCTTCCATCATGATATTAACTGTATAATTTGGCTAATCCCTTTTGTCTTTTGCACATTATTTCTTGACTTGGTTTACTGCATTAGAATGTGTGACTTTAAAGCTGACTGATCAAATCCCTGGGAACTGTATATTCAATGCTATTTTATTATCTGAGCCTTTTCCAACCACCGAACCACCCACAGGGCTTGCTGTTCACAATATAAACTCACACCAATTTAATAGGACTCATGGGCAATGTTTTATACTTCAGTGTTCTGGAATATATTTCAGAGTATATTTACACTCTCCATTTGTTTATGCAGCAGAGAATGATTTGTACTTTAAATAGACAAAAATTTCACATTCTTCTCTTAGTCTGTTGCACATGCAAGATTGATTTCTTTTTTTTTTTACATTGTGAGGTTAGCTAATTGGTGGGAAGATAATCATTGACTGCCTTAGAATGAAGACACATCGAAAAGTTTTTAGAAAAATTGAATTCACAGATGAGTTTATTTTGGTGCCAAAATTTTTGAAATTCATGCATGTGTGGGGTTTTAAAACTATTTATGAATGATTTTTTCATAAAAAGTATGTGGATGTCTTTTTTTTTTTTTTTTTGACAGGCAGAGCTAGACAGTGAGACAGAGACAGAGAGAAAGGTCTTCCTTTTCTGTTGGTTCATCCCCAAGTGGCTGCTATGGCTGGCGCGTTGTGCCAATCCAAAGCCAGGAGCCAGGTGCTTCCTCCTGGTCTCCCATGGGGTGCAGGGCCCAAGCACTTGGGCCTTCCTCCACTGCCTTTCCGGGCCACAGCAGAGAGCTGGACTGGAAGAGGAGCAACCAGGACAGAATCCGGCGCCCCAACTGGGACTAGAACCCAGGGTGCTGGCGCTGCAGACGGAGGATTAGCCAAGTGAGCTGTGGCGCCGGCCAAGTATGTGGATTTCAAACACTGTTGGAACCAAAATAAACATCTTTAAATTCCATTTTTTCATAAATTTTCTTGAAGTGCCCTCCAGAAAGAGGTAAGTCTGAGATGATGGAAATACTACTATACTCTTTGTCCTTTATTAAAGAAAATAGCATTCTTTAATTGTAATCTATTGAGTTGATGCCTTGAATTAAATTATCATTTTGAAAAGATTCATTACGGAAATCATTTAAAGTAAGACGTGTGGATTCCTTGGACATACCAGTCTACTGAACAGGTTGTGTCCTGTGGAAGCTACTTGCTGAATTAGCAGTTGAAGCTCCTAACTGAAAATGCATAAACAGATTTAGTCTTTCTTTGCTGTTGCCATAGACAGATTCACCAGTTATCCAAATAATTGATTTTTGCCTATTTTTGCTTGAAATTTTATTGTTTAGTGGGATGGTTTTATTTTGGAGGAATTTTGTTAAGAAAGCTTTTATTTAATGAATACAAATTTCATAGGTACAGCTTTAGGAATATAGCATTTCTTCCCCCCATACCCACCCTCCCACCCCCACTCCCATCATGACATCATGGAGGAATTTTTTTAAAGATTTATTTATTTATTTGAAAGGCAGAGTTACAGAGAAGCAGAGAGAGGCAGAGAGAGAGAGAGAGTGAGTGTCTTCCATCCACTGGTTCACTCACCAATGGCTGCAATGGTCAGAGCTGTGTTGATCTGAAGTCAGGAGCCTGGAGCTTCTTCTGGGTGCAGGGGCCCAAGGACTTGGGCCATTTTATACTGCTTTCCCAGGCCATAGCAGAGAATTGGGTCAGAAGTGGAGCAGCCAGGACTTGAACAAGTGTCCATAGGATGCTGGCACTGCAGGTGGTGGCTTTACCCACTATGCCACAGCGCCGGCCCCTGGAGGAGTTTTTTAACCTTACACATTCCAAACTCCAGGTGTCACTTCGTAGATTTAGATTTTCTCATCAGTTTCCTCCCACATATTATTTCTGCCATTCAGATAGCTACCATTGGGAGGCTTCTTCACATCCATAAAATCCTTCAGATTTCAGGGTAGAACTGAGTTGTCCTTATGTGTCATATTTTGCATCTATATTCCAATGATCAGCAGTTCTTTCCCGGTTGTGACATACATGTACAACTTTCTACTGTCTTGTTAGAAGACCATTTTGAATCTCCCATTTTATGACAATGAGATACGCTCTCTCTCTCTTTTCATTAAGGTCTTTGACTTTTAGGGCCCTTACAGAAACCAGACTTCAGATCTTCTTCTACATAGCAATACCTGATTCAAAATGTTTGCAATTTCTTTGTTTTTTTTTTTTGTTTGTTTGTTTGTTTTTTTTTTTTTTTTTGACAGGCAGAGTGGACAGTGAGAGAGAGAGACAGAGAGAAAGGTCTTCCTTTGCCGTTGGTTCACCCTCCAATGGCCGCCGCTGCAGCCGGCGCACCGCGCTGATCCGATGGCAGGAGCCAGGAGCCAGGTGCTTTTCCTGGTCTCCCATGGGGTGCAGGGCCCAAGCACCTGGGCCATCCTCCACTGCACTCCCTGGCCATAGCAGAGAGCTGGCCTGGAAGAGGGGCAACCGGGACAGAATCCGGCGCCCCGACCGGGACTAGAACCCGGTGGAGGATTAGCCTATTGAGCCACGGCGCCGGCTTGCAATTTCTTTTCTTGCCTAATTGCCCTGTTAATTTTCATAGTACAACACATTAAGGACAAAGATCCTACATTGGGAGCAAGTGCACAGTGACTCCTGTTGTTAATTTAACAATTGACACTCTTATTTATGACGTCAGTGATCACCTGAGGCTCTTGTCATGAGATGCCAAGGCTATGGAAGCCTCTTGAGTTCACAAACTCTGTCCTTATTTAGACAAGGGCATAATCAAAGTAGAAGTTCTTTCCTCCCTTCAGAGAAAGGTACTTCCTTCTTTGATGGCCTATTCTTTCCACTGGGATCTCACTCACAGAGATCTTTCATTTAGGTCATTTTTTGCCATAGTGTCTTGGCTTTCCATGCCTGAAATACCTCTTGGGCTTTTTAGCCAGGTCCGAATGCCTTAAGGGCTGATCCCGAGGCCAGAGTGCTGTTTAGGGCATTAGTCATCCTATGAGTTGGCTGTGTGTCCTGCTTCCCATGTTGGATGGTTCTCTCCCTTTTGTATTCTATCAGTTAGTATTTGCAGACACTAGTCTTGTTTATGTGATCCCTTTGACTCTTAATCCTATCTTTATGATCAGTTCAAACTTAAACTGATCACTTTAACTAGTAAGATGGCATTGGTACTTGCCAACTTAATGGAATTTGGAGTCCCATGGCAAGTGAAATAAACATTTTTTAAGGTGTATCAAAATATTAGCAATGACAACAAAATATGAATTGCTTTTAATTTTGTATGGGAAGCTACATAGATTATCTCAGCTCAGACAGATCTATAAAATCAGGACTTATAGTCTACATTTGGCTGATACACACACACATACACACACATTTGCATTCACACAGAACCATCTTTAATACCTATGGCACAAGATGGCATAAAAAATTAACCTAAGGAGGTAAAAATCTTATAATTGTAAAAATTTTAAATATATTTACAAACAGTTGATAACATTGTTGTATTTTATTTCAATTTTCTCCCTTATACTTTATATTATTGTTACATATCATTAAAAATATTAAAGTAGCTATTTATGTTTTGAATGAACAAATGTATGTTTTTATATTTAATCACTAGAAGCATATTTCACATATGTAAATTTGTAATCATTCCACAGGAATGGGAATTGAAATTAAGCTTTGGAAATGAATGTTACTAGTAAGGTATTTATTTTCACAGTGTCAGAAAGAGGAAAAATCAAGGTTTTGGGAACATAATATTTTTTGTTTCTAACTCCCTTTATTTCTCTTTCAGGCACAGCCTTGAATCCTTCAAAGCAAAGTCATCAGAAAGAGAGATTTCCAAACATGCCAGCCAAGGTAAAGCAGGTGTGTATAAAAAATGACTGTTGCTTATGGATTTTAGCATAAGAAATAATGTTATCCAAGAGAAAAGATGCTGGATTCACAGACACTTTTTTAAAAACCAAAAATGTTTCCGTTCTCTCATTGTTTTTTACTTAGTTGAAGATTGAGGAAATTAGAGAGTTGTAACCATTGAAAGAGATGAGAGCTTCCTCTTTCACAGACCTGTCAAGAGAGGAGACTTAGAATTAAGGTTGATGTGAATTATGCATTTGCCTTAACTTTTAATTTTCCTTTTCTAGTTGGCCTTTTGTGTGCTACTCTTAGTTTTTATTAGAGCAAATTAGCAGTGATCATTTTTATAGCATTAGAAGTCATTTCAAATTCGCTATTTGTAACTATGGCATTGATACTTGAGTTTTTACAGTTGATATGGAAGTCTTAAGTATACACTTACAAATAGCAATAAATGCTATTGAATAAAGTGAAATAAGTTTGCTTTCTACTAGCTTTCTTCTAAATTGGATTCTGCACGATTGTACTGTATAGTCCCAGGGGGAGCTTTGAATTTCTGTTGCGGTTCTGTTCTTTCTAGAATTATGAAATAGAATTACTTTAGTATGTATTTCTTCTCTTAGGAAGCAGCCAATGTCACAGTGGGTGATGTTCTTATTTCTGAGCACAATAAAAAAGGTAAAAACCATAATAACATAATAACAAAATATTTTTTATATCTTGCTTTCATTTAAGGGAATTTAGAGGGGAAAATGTCCAATTAACTTATTAATCATTTATATTCATGCTCAGAATAAAATTTGCATAGAAGTCAAAATATTTTCAGTTTTGATTGAAACTCATAGTTCTGATAGATGACATATTATTGTTTTGTTGAGAATCCATCGGCTGGGGTGGGCTTTTGGCCAGCTGGTTGAGATGCCAATTAAGATTTTTTTTTTTTGACAGGAGAGTGGACAGTGAGAGAGAGAGACAGAGAGAAAGGTCTCCCTTTGCCGTTGGTTCACCCTCCAATGGCCGCCGCGGCCAGCGCGCGGTGGCTGGCGCACCGCGCTGATCCGATGGCAGGAGCCAGGTACTTATCCTGGTCTCTCATGGGGTGCAGGGCCCAAGTACTCGGGCCATCCTCCACTGCACTCCCTGGCCACAGCAGAGAGCTGGCCTGGAAGAGGGGCAACCGGGACAGAATCCGGCGCCCCGACTGGGACTAGAACCCTGTGTGCCGGCGCCGCAAGGCGGAGGATTAGCCTAGTGAGCCACGGCGCCGGCCAAGATGTTTCTTATACTTGAGTTCATTTCCTGGCTTCACCTCCTGATTCCATCTTCCTGCCACTGCAGACTCTGAGAGTCAGCAGTGACAGCTCGGGTCATTGTGTTTCTGTTACCCAAGTGAGAGAGCTGGATTGAGTTCCCAGCTCTTGGCTTCAATCCTGGCCGTTGTGGAGATTTGGGGAATGAACTAACAAATGGGAGCTCTGTCTGGCTCTTTCTACTTCTCAGAAAAAACTTATCAGTTAATGAAGATCATCATTGTGATCTTTTCACATAAGGAATATTTTTTGTTGTGGTTAGTAAAATTTGCTATTTGTATGTCTCATAATAAAGCATTTTTAGAATTATGTCAGATTTTTATATAGTCTCAGAAATTTTCATGGTACTGCAGAAATATTTCAAGATGATTATAGAGTAGTGCTGAGAGTCATTGTAAAAATCAAGTTACTGGGGCTGGTGCTGTGGCTTAGTGGGTAAAGCCACCACCTGCAGTGCTGGCATCCCATAAAGGTGCTGGTTGGAGTTCCGGCTGCTCCATTTCTAATCCAGCTCTCTACTATGGTCTGGGAAAGCAGTAGAAGATGGTCCAAGTCCTTGGGCCCCTGCACCCACGTGGGAGACCTGGAAGAAAACTCTTGGCTCTTGGCTTCAGATCAGCCAGGCTCTAGCTGTTGCGGCCATTTAGGGAGCAAACCAGCAGATGGAAGTCTCTCTGTCTCTCTCTCTTCAGGAACTCTGCCTTTCCAATAAACAAATAAATCTTTAAAAAAAAAATCTGGCTATTTTCCAAATCAACTTTGCGCCCTTCTTAAAAGGAAGAACAATTTACTACCACCTGGGAATCATTCTGCAAATGTTAAAGACTATTTCAGACTGCCTTGCCTAATGTCACTAGATCTGATGCTTCTTTGGTTGAAAAGACAATTAGACGTTAGATAAGCTTTTGGTTCTTTAACAGTAAGATCTAAATCAAGCTTTAAATGTCTTCAGAGACTATTTCATATTTGCTGTGGAAATACAGCCAAAACTGGGTTCTGAATGATTTAGCCAAGCTTTCTCTTCGTGGTTAGTATTTGGTTACCTTTTAAGTGTATTCTCCCAATCTCTGCTTTGGATGATTTCTTTTTTTTTAAGCTAATGCATCTTTCTAATTTACTCTGAAGAAGCAATTTAGGCATTCAGAGGATCTGGCTAATGAAAAGTATTTATATTAGTCAGGCTTGGAGAATTTTGTTCAGTCCTATCAGGATTCCCACTTCCATAGTTTTTTCATGGTTTTAGATTCAAAATGGGTTAACAGTAAATGTTGACCTAATGACAAGGAACAGAATCTTAGGAAAATTGCCCCAGCTAAGCTTTTATATCAGCATGTTATTGTGTAAGTGTTTTTAAAAAACCATTTGCTCTGTGGAATGGTGGAAGCCTGGCCCAAGTAAATGTGCGGAAAACATGTGGTGGGCTTCCCTGTGGGCTCTGTTGAATTGCTGAGCTCTGGTGTGTTTCTTTTTAATTGATATCAATTTATTTTCATTTAAAGCATAGAGAGAGAGAAAGATAAAATAGAGATAGGTAGATAAGTAACTTCTATCCACTGGGTCACTCCCCAAATGCTACAACCAGCATGACTGGGCCAGGCCAAATATGGGAACCTGGAAGTCAATCTGCATCTCCCATGTGAGATGACAGGGACCCAATTACTTGAGATTTCTCCCTCACCTTCTAGGCTGTGCATTAGCAGAAAGTTAGGACTAGGAGTGGAGCTGAGACTCAAACTCAGGCACTCCAATATGGGATGCAGACATCCTATGTAACATCTTAACCACTGCAGCAAAGATCTCCCCTCTGATGTTTTTCTAATATAGTATGGAAGTCCTGGTTATAATAGTGATGTTGATGCTTAGAAAGAGAAAAGATAACTTACCTCTGCTCTTCTTCTTAAGGGATGTTGCTTAAATCCTCCATCAGCTTTCAAAATGTTGTAGAAGGAACTAAAAATTTCCACAAAGATTTCCTAATTGGAGAAGGAGAGATTTTCAAGGTATACAGACTGGAGATTCAAAACCGAACATATGCTGTTAAATTATTTAAACAGGTATGGAAAGAATTACTATCACAGGATATCAAATCCATTTATTTGCTCATATTTCATATTAAAATGTGTCATTTTTCATCACCATTGAAAAGAGGTATATATGAAAGTAAAATTTCACGAATGGAAATAAGATATATAACTTCAGGTGACTGGAAAAATAACTGAGACATGAATGCCTGTCTTGCAAGAATGTGGAAGTTAAATCCTACTGGTCCATAGATGTATTAACATGAGAAAGACTTATAAAAAGCTTTGCAGGCCTCTGAAACTTTGCTTGTGAGAGTCAAATTGTGCTGGAGGGATCAAACTCAGAAATCAGTAAGAGATAGATATCTACAAAGAGTTACTCTTAATTTTCTTGTTGTTAGTCAACAATCAAAGAGTATTTGCTAAACTTCTGTTGGCTGAACGTCTGACCATGGGTGAAATGAATAAGCCGTAATTATGTCCTCAGGAGCAAACAGTCTTCAGGAGAAATGGTCAGGTGAACAAATGATTAAACTGTTGTGAGAGGAAGGCTTTAGCAGGGGTTTGTCAAAAGGTCTCAGAGCACATAAAAGATAACAACTCTAACCACCCAGAGGATGGGTATATCTGGCATTGAGGAGACTATCTGGCATAAAGTATCCCCTCATAAGCATCTCTCAAAAGCCAATGAAAAAATTGATGGAAGGAAGTGACCTTTCAACTGGATTTTGATGGATGAGAACTTTGGTTGATAGTAAAAGACAGGAAGTACATTCTGGGTGGAACAAATAGCAGGTGCAAAGACCTGGAGGTTCATGTATGAAAACATAGGTCTTACTCATTGAATGAAGTAGAGTGGATTGTAGGAGGCAGGAAGGTAGGTAAAAGACATATATGATTTTTAAGTAGGATAGTGAAAGTCTTAGGTTTTTTTTGGACAGGCAGAGTTAGACAGTGAGAGAGAGAGAGACAGAGAGAAAGGTCTTCCTTCCGTTGGTTCACCCCTCAAATGGCTACTACAGCTGACGCGCTGCGCTGATCCCGAAGCCAGGAGCCAGGTGCTTCTTCCTGGTCTCCCATGCGGGTGCAGGGCCCAAGTACTTGGGCCATCCTCCACTGCCTTCCTGGACCACAGCAGAGAGCTGGACTGGAAGAGGAGCAACCGGGACAGAACTGACGCCCCAACCAGGACTAGAACCTGAAGTACCAGCGCCACAGGTGGAGGATTAGCCTAGTGAGCTGTGGCACCGGCTTGGTTTTGTTTTTTAAAGTACAGTTTTGAATACAGGTTGAAAGGTGGATTGGAAGTTGGCAGAGGGTTTTGGGGAAAGAACTAGATTGCAGGCAGAAGGACTTGGGGGAGAAATATTTCAGCTATATAAGCTAAGGAATGGAGAGAGTTTAAATCATTGTTTTCAATGCTTAACTGTGTATTGGAATCACCTAGGGAACTTTTAAAAAACTAGCTTCAGGGGCAGGCATTGGGTCTAGCAGTTAAGATGCCCACACCCCATGTCAGTATACCTGGATTCAGTACCCAGCTCCATTCCTGATTCCAGATTCTTGCTAATATGACAGTGGGGGCTCAAGTGATTGGGTTCCTACCATCCACATGGAGACCTGGATTAAGTTCCTGGCTTAAAATTTTGGCCTGTCCCTGGATGTTATGGGTATTTGAGGAGTAAGCCAGCAGATAGGAGTGCATGTTGTCCTTCAGTGCCTCACAAATAAAATACAACAAAAAACTAGCTTCATAGCAGTTGGTTAAGTCAGAATGGTGATGATGAAGGCAGGCATCAGTAGTTTTTAAAGCTTCCCAGGTAATTCATGTATATAGTCAGTGTTGGAAACCATTGCTGTAAGCCAGGAAAAGGTTAATGGGTTTAGTGAGGGGAACTAAAAAGAAGTGAAAGGAACAAAATCTAGTGATCTGTTGGATAAGACCAGGAAGTGGAGGAGAAAAGGGATCTAAAGTGATTCCTAGTTGACAGCTTATTTAACAGAGCCTTTAAAAAATTATTAGCGTGATGTCTCCATTTCCCCATATTGCATTTTATATCACTTGAAGATTCCTGAGAAGAAGAACAGTCTAATAACAAAGCAATATACTGGCAAAATCATTCAACAAATGGACCGTGGTTGCTGTAGAGGTGACCCAACTGAAACCTGTGCTCACCTGTCCCTGGGCTTTTTTGTACACTGTCTTATTATGGAGGCCCAGAGTCAACTCTCAAGAGGGTCCGTGTAATCTAATTTCTACTTCTCTCTGAAGCTGCCCCTACATCACCATCCCTTTTGGAATTTTCTTTCCATGGTTCTGGCTTTAGAATGAGGTCATTGCTTCTTGGTCCCCTTCCCTTCCTGTCCTAAGGCAAATATTACTTCTCTGATTACCTCTGACCCTTCCAATGTAACTTTGGTGACCTTCCTATGTATAGCCATAGCATCATAGAATTATCTCAAAGCCTTAGTTTCTTCAGCTGCCTCTACCAACAGACTGGATGGCTTTCTTTGAAAAGCTCTGACTTATCTTTGTTTTCTAGTGTCTTATTTAGAGCTGGGTCCATAGTTGTTGTTCAGTTCCTGTTTGTTAGATGACTTGAATGAAGCATACATACGTTTTTCAGGAATTTGGTTGCATTCACTAGGCATAAAAACACCCAGAAACTGCAAAGGAATGGAAAAGTACTGTACCTGGTCCTACTCTACATTTTAACTCTCTTTTTGGGTGATGAGTAGAAGTGTGCTTGGATTTGTGCTCTCTGATTCTATCTCCTTCCCCTTCTCCAGCCATGCAGAGACATAGATGTACACACATACTCATATACATACATAAACACGCAAAGACATGCACACTTTTAAGGAAAGATGAGATCATTTAGTAGAACCTTGGTCAACATTTTTAAAAATAAATACAGTTTTGTAACACTGGGACATTCTCTTCAGTGACCTTCCTTGAAGGGACTAATGTGAGAAATGGTACTGGAGAGCTTGTGCCTCTGGAAGTTTAGTGTGTGCTTAATCATCTGGCAGTCTTTTCGCAATGCAGATTATGACTCATCAGCTCTGAGCAGGAGCTCAGCAGAAGGTGCAGCGTTTCTCACCAGCTCCCGGTAGAGCTGCACTTGTTTGTGCATAGACCACACTTTTAAGCACCTGGTATTAGAGCACCAAGTTAGCATAAACTAGCCCCTTCATTTTTCACATTAAGAAAACTGTGACTTCAGGGAGATTGACTGACTGATAGCAAGTCACAAATAGCAAGTGTTTAGAATGGGCCTGAGACCCAGTTTACTTGGCTGCTAGGACCATGGTCCTGTGAAATGTAAATTCTGATGGAGTGGCTCTTGGAAATGATTTGTTAGCCTGGTTTATTGTTACTGACTTCCTGGCTTAACTTGGAAAATAACTTCCAGAATTCCTCTTGGATTTCTCTCCTTTTATTCCTGAGGACACAGCTCTAAATACTCTGCCCTCAGAGCCAATGCCAGAAGCTTACAGCTGGTGGGACTGAGGAGCATACTTTAACCCCTTCCTGGTTGAAGTTAGGAACTTGAGATCCAGAGACATGCAATGACATAAAATGTGTGCAAGCATCAAGAACAGTGCCAGGAATAGTGTAGGTGCTTAGTATGTCACTGAGTTCAGTCATTCACCCAGTATTCATGTGTCAGGCTCTGGACCAGCTTCTGAAGCTTCTTTGAAGTGAAGAGTTATAGTTCATTTGCTGAGGAAGCCCATCTTTCCAAACTTAATGCAAAGGTGAACTGCAAACATCTCAACATGACTCTAGTAAATGACAAATTAGTGAAATTTTGATGGAAAATAAGGAAACACAAATTGGATTCTCTGTGAGATCAAGCAGGGAGTTTTTTTTTTTTTAAACTGTCAAGGGGTTTTCATTAATATATGTAATATTTTTGAATTTGTGCAAATGTATGTAAAATATGATGAAAGTCTGAATATGAAATTTGGCAGTGTGATGTATAGCATGAAAAACTTTTAACTCAAAAGCACTCGTTCTAAATCTGTTTTGAAGTTAATGGATTTTTAAAAACTCTTTTGAAAGCTGAAGATCCTCCCCCCAGGAAAATGTTCATATGCGTTTCTACCAAAGATTTCATTTAATTTCAGGGACTATACAGACTGTGTTAGGAATCCCAGATATACAGGCCCTTCTCTTAATTTTTTTTTCTGTGTATTTAGGAGAAAAAACAATGGAAGAAATTTTTATCAGAGCTTGAAGTCTTACTACTGTGAGTATATCTTATCCAGAATTTTCCCTGCCTTGTGCTCTGATTTCATCTCTGACCATCTTTGATTTTATGACACAGTGCTTGGCATGGCTGGTATTTAATAAATGTGGGTTGGAAGTTAGAACACTGGGTAATTTTTGACATCTGCTTCAGTGTATTCTTTAAAGTATATTTTAATGTAGACCATTTACATAATTCACTAGAACATATTTTAACAAGAAACTGTCACAAGGAAGTGGGTTAAATCGGGTGTGACTAACACAGCTGAATAATAGTTCTTAGAACATTCGAATTGTATATATTTCACTGTTTCCACCCTTCCCTAGAGACATTCCAGTCTAGAAACTGTTTCATCAGTTTAACTCTCCTCAGGAAGAGAGTTTTATTCAAAGAAATCAAATGCTTTTGATGTGTATATTATTTTCTGGGAATTCATTCATGAGTCTGAGAGCCCATGGAGACAAATAAAATGACTTCATTTTCATATATATTCATATCTGCAGCTGTGCAGCCTTCCTTATTGAAGGTCACTAACCCAATAGAGTTCACTCATCACCCTTTACAAACAGAAAATGTTCTTTTCAGATGTCTTCTGGACTGAGATGTAAGAGAGAGGAGTGAGGTGAGGTGAGGAGGTATTATATCATTTTGCTGAATTCCTTTGCTTATATATGCAGAACCAGAAATAAAAATATTAGAGGTTAATTATAAAAACTTTATATCACTCAATTAAACACTAAATCCAAAATTGTAATAGAAGAGTTTTATATTTAAGGTGTTATTTTTGCTTACAAAAGTAAAATTCACATATTTCAAAATTCCAAAACTACAAAAGGTAAACCAAGAAAAGATTTTCTCCTGCTATTATCCTCCAACCACTGAGCTGACTGTTCAAAGGAACACTGTTATCAGGCTCTTGTCTATATTTCCAGAGATAGTTTATGCATAGGCAAATGTCTATTGTGTTTTCTGATTTTCCTCTGTTTACCCACAGCGTAGCATAAACATTGTTCACTTTCTTCATTTTTGCTTTGTATATTTTATTGTTACTTACTGAATGTTCTTCCATTGGTGAATTAGATTTTTTCTAATCTCATTATTCAAAAATGATACTACAAGATTAAAACCTCTGTCTATTATTTTGTGCCTGTATGAGTGTATCTGTAAGATAAACTCTTATGAATGAAACTGTACCATCAGATGTTTATGTGCATTCATAATAACAAATGGTATTGCGATAGTAGTTGTGCCAGTTTTATGCTTATACCAGTCATGTCTAAGAGTTCCTGGTTTCCCACATTCTTGGCAACCTCTTTTTTTTCAGCTTTTAATTGTTTCTAATCTGTTAGGTAGAAATAATTTTTAAATATAATTTTTTGAAAATATTTACTTGACAAAAAATGTATATGTTCACTCTGTACCTTGTGGTGATTTCATATACATTGTGTACTCTTTATCTCAGTCAAATTAATTAACACATCCATTGCCATTCATGCTATACTTACATCCTTAGTATTTGCTCATCCTATCACTGAAAGTTTGTACTCCTTGGCCAACGGCTCTCTATTTTCCTTAGCTTCCAGCGCTTGGTATCCATTTTTGTATTGTGTGATTCTGTAATTTTGACTTTTTAATTTGCACATGTAAGGGAGATCATATGTTGTTAGTCATTCTGTGTCTATTTTATTTCACTTAGTGTGGTATCTTCCAAGTTTGTCCATATTGTTGCAAATGGCAAGGTTTCCTTCTTTATATGGTGAAATAATAATCCATTATATATACTTACATACATATATGTAAATATGAATATATATGTATGTGTATTACAGATAAATAATCACTTTTTTCCCCGAAGAACCTTCATAATAGCTGTACCAATTTACATTCCCACCAATAATATGTAAGCATTATCTTTTCTCCACACGCTGGCCAATTCTTGTTATATTCTAACACTCCTGTTGTGATTTTTTATTTGCCTCTCCCTGATAATTAGTGATATTGGGTAACTTATCATATACATGCTGACCATTTGTGTGTCTTCTTTGGAAACATGCATACTCAGGACCTTTTTCCACTTTTAAATCAAGTTATTCATTATTTTGCTGTTGAGTTGGGTGAGTTTCTTACATATTTTAGATATTAACCTTTTATCAAATATATAGTCTACTTATATATTTTCCCATCCTGTAGGTTGCATTTTCATTTTGATGACTGTGCCTGAAGTGAGAGGAGAAAAGCCCAAAAATAAACAGGCAATTTCAGTAATAAATTAAATGATAAGATGATACCTTGGGAGCTGGGCAGCAGAATGGGCTCCTTGAAAGAAGTAATATCTAAGCTGACACCAAGGGACGGTATTTTTTGTTTATCACATAGATAACGTTAAGTGCTAAAATGATCCTATAAATAGGACTGTTTTATTTATTTTTATTTATTTGACAGGTAGAGTTATAGACAGTGAGAGACAGAGAGAAAGGTCTTCCTTCCATTGGTTCACCCCCCAAATGGCCGCTACAGCCGGCACTGTGCTGATCTGAAGCCAGGAGCCAGGTGCTTCCTCCTGGTCTCCCATGCGGCTGCAGGGGCCCAAGCATTTGGGTCATCCTGCACTGCCTTCCCAGGCCATAGCAGAGAGCTGGACTAGAAGAGGAGCAGCCGGGACTAGAACCGACGCCCATATGGGATGCTGGCACTGTAGGCAGAGGATTAACCAAGTGAGCCATGACACCAGCAGGACTAAGTGTTTTAAAATAATAATAGAAAGAATAAAAAAAGAATGAATGCTGCAACATGGGAAGCAGTCCATACAGCAGACTCAAAGAATGACAATCACTTCAAATAACACTCTGACCTCAGAATCAGCCCTTAAGGCATTCTGGCCTGGCTGAAAAACCTATGAAAGCATGTCAGACATGGAAAGCCAAAACACTGTGACAAAAATGTCCCACATGAAGGATTTCTGTGAGTGAGGCCCCAACAGAAAGAAGTGGCCTTCAAAGAAGGATGTACTTTACTCTGAAGGGAGGAGAGAACTTCCACTTAGCCCATGGCCCTGTCTAAATGTGGAAGGAGTCAATGTATTGAAAAGGCTTCCACAGCCTAGTCAGCTCATGTCAAGAGCCTCGAGTGATCACTAACATAACACTAACATAAGTGTTAATTGTTAAATTAACAACAGGAGTCACTGTGCACTAACTTTCCATGCAGGACCTCTCTCTTCAAAGAGTTAACAGAAAAACTTGATTGTAAAGATTTACCTTGCTTTAGTGTATGAAGTGGAGGTCATCATACATGCATCATAAACTACAGTAATGTTCAAGTGCTCACAAAAACGCACCATCTTGAGTTTTTCTCCAAAATTAATTCCCTGAGAAAAAAATAGAGAGAGAGAAGTCAAATCTCAGAAAGGTTTATTTTTATTGAATCAAAAAGTACTTTCTTGCGTCATTGTAAAAACAAGCCTGTTGGTATTCTATTGCACAGTAGGGTAATAATAGTTAACAATAACATACTATACTTTTCTAAATAGCTGTAAGAAAGACTTCTGAATGTGCACACTACAAAGAAACCTTGAATATATGAAGCAAGGGATGCTAATTATTCTAATATGATCATTAAAATGTATGTATGTGTCAAAATATTACATCATACCACATAAATATGTCCAATTACTGTTTGTCAATAAATAACAAAATTTTAAAAATGACATTACCTTAAGAATTATTAACTCCTTAGAATTTGGCTTCTCTTTTTCTGCCTCCTTCCTTAGGGGAAGGAAGAGAAGCTAATGATTTCTAAGGATCTTCCATTTGACTATGGATTTAACCTTTTCTTTAATTTTTTATGAATAACCTTAGAAAGTAAGTGTTTTAAATTATTGCTTCTTGTTGAAGAAACAGGCTAAGAGAGATGAGCTAACTTGCCCAAGTTCACATGGTTGATAGAAAGAACATACATTCAAACCCAAGTTTGCTTGTGTTCCATCCTGTCTGCTCTACCACACCGTATCTTGCATTGTTTTGTCTTCAGTAGGCACTAAGAAATGCTTGCTGAACTGATTTTAAAAGATATCAAATCTGCAAAGCTTTAGCTCTATAATACGTAAACTCCTGCTGATTTAACAGTTTATAACTAAAGAAAAATTGGTATGGGTCTGTAGGCTTAAAATTTTTCTGTGTTTCATGCCATGCTAACTTTTTTAAAAAAGGTTAATTAATTTATTTAAAAGGAGGGTTACAGAGAGGCAGAGTCAGAAAGGTCTTCCATCTGCTGGTTCACTTCCCAAATGGCTGCAATGGCTGGAGCTGGGCTGATCCGAAGCCAGAACCTTTTTCTGCATCTCCCACATGAGTGCAGGGGCCCAAGCACTTGGGCCACCTTTTACTGCTTTCTCAGGTGCATTGGCAGGGAGCTAGATCAGAAGTGGAGCAGCTGGGTCTTGAACCAGCGTCCATATGGGATGTTTAATCTGCTACACCACAGTGCTGACCCTAAAAATAAAAGTCCACGTGTTTGTATATGTATTTATGAGGAGTTTTCAGAAAGTTCACAGAAATACTTATTATGGAACAAATAATGCATATATTTTAAAAGATTTTTTTTGCTTAGCCTTTAGTCCCATTTTCCTATAGACATTCTGAAGTATCCTTATGTGTATGCACCTACACATGCATGAGTGTATATGTTTATATGCGTATATGTGAACCTTTTTTCTACGAGAAAAAACTTACTAGTTAATTTTGTTTTCCAAGAAACTTTCTGAAGTACCATCTTGTGGGGAGCAACTGGGAGCAACTCGGACTAGACTAAGTTACTGGAATTAAGACTTATTCTATGCATCTGCTCTCCCACAATATGGCGCTGGGAGAGGAGGAAACAGCTTCTACACAGCTGCCTCCAGTTCAACCAATAAGCAGCAGGACCTGCTCCTGATTGGAGGAGAGCAGCGTACTCGGCATGTGGGTATCAGAGTTGGGATTGGCAGAAGAGGACTATAAAGGAGGAGAGAGACAACATGCACCAGGAACACCTGAGGAACACCTGAGCAGCCCCCTAGAGAGCCGGCCGGTGGTGTGCCGCTCCCCCGCGGAAGTGGGGAAAGTGGCAGGGGGAACCGCCCTTCCACGGAGGTGGAAGGGACGGTAGCCAACCCGGGAAGAACCAGCAGCAAACCCGGGGAGGGCTGAGCAGACAAAAGAACAGCGCAGGGTCCTGTGTCACTCCTCCACGAAGAGGGGGAGCGACATAATGGTGCCGTGACTCGGATATGAAGCCTAGGCAGGGTTTAGTGTCGTTCCTCCATGAAGAGGGGGAGCGACACCATCTTGAGTGTGTATACATACACACACACACACACACACACATATGCACATAGAGGGCATGTATACACACATACTTATAGGAAAGTTTTACTACTAAAAACTAAAGAAGCTACTACTAAAAAGTAAGGAAGTAAATAATAGACCTTTATAAGTAGAGCTATTTTGATAGCTTTATTAATTTAAATACCCACAACCACACCCAGGACACATTATTCAACAAATAATTATTGGATTCAATTGAGTTCATAGTATGAGCAAATTTTACAATTTTTACTTCATAGTTGCTGCCCTGGTTCCATTGATCTTCATGATGACATGTACATTCAAGGAATAGAATTTTTATTAATAACCTAATAAGTGATAATTAGGAAAGGAACATGAATTATGTAGGTTATATTGACATCACTATTCATCTGCTATTTAAAATCAGTGATAACAGAGCAGGTGTTTGTCCTGGCAATTAAGATACTGTTTGGAATGCCTACATTCTGTGTGGGAGTGCTTGTGTTGGAGTTTCAGCTTTGCTTTTGATTCCAGCTTCCTACTGTTGTACACCCTGGGAGGCAGCAGGTTGATGTTTCAAGTATTCTGCCACCCACGTAGGATTGAGTTCCAGGCTCCTGGCTTTGGGCCAGCCCCAGTTGTTGGAGGGTGAACCAGCAGGAGGAAGAACTCTCTCTGCTTCTTGAACTTCCAAATAAAATATAAATAGTTTTTTAAAAAGATTTATTTGAGAGACCAGGAGAAGCACCTGGCTCCTGGCTTCAGATCAGCTCCGTGTGCTGGCCGCAGCGGCCATTGGAGGGTGAACCAACGGCAAAGGAAGACCTTTCTCTCTGTCTCTCTCTCTCATTGTCCACTCTCCCTGTCAAAAAAAAAAAAAAAAGACTTATTTATTTGGCAGAGTTTAGAGAGAGACATAGAGAGAGACCTTCTATCCACTGGTTTACTTCCTAAATGGCTATAACAGCCAGAGCTGGGCCAGGCCAAAACCAGGAATCTGGAACTCCATCTGGGTCTCCCACAGTTATGTATAGTATAGTATGTTATTGTTAACTATTATTACCACAGGGACCCGAGCATTTGGGCCATCTTCCGTTACTTTACCAGGTTCATTAGAATGGAGCTGGATTGAAAGTGGAGCAGCCATAATTTCTTTATCCAGTCTATCGTTGATGGGCATTTAGGTTGGTTCCAGGAACCAGTGCTCATATGGGATGCCAGTGTTGCAGGTGAAGGCTCATCCTGCTGTGCCATAATGCCAGCCCCAATATGTAGTTTTTTAAAAGAAAAATTAGTGATATGCTTTTCCACATCAAACTTGACTAACTGTATAGATTGTAACTGCAAGCTGGAGCTTTGTGAAGACATTGATGTTTCTCTCCAGCTGGTACCTGTTACAGTATCCAACATACTAGTGCTTGAATGGAAGTAGCGATTGAATAGAACTAGCCTTCTGTATGTTCATGTTTTGTGATTTCACTTAAATATGTACACGTCAGTCAAATGAACAATGTCAGCTGCATTATCTTTCTTTAATAAATAAGTCATATTGTGTTTTATAATGATAAAAGTAAGTACCAAATAGTATTGCCTATATTTTATAAAGTTTCCAACAGCCCAAATATTTTGAAATTGTACTTTTTAAATTTCTCCGTCTTGGCCGGTACTGCAGCTTCCTAGGCTAATCCTCCGCCTGCGGCCCCAGTACCCCAGGTTCTAGTCTTGGTTGGGGTGCTGGATTCTGTCCTGGTTGCTCCTCTTCCAGTCCAACTCTCTGCTGTGGTCCGGGAAGGCAGTGCAGGATGGCCCAGGTGCTTGGGCCCTGCACCCACATGGGAGACCAGGAGGAAGCACCTGGCTCCTGGCTTCGAATTGGCGCAATGTGCCAGCCATAGTGGCCATTTGGGGGGTGAACCAATGGAAGGAAGACCTTTCTCTCTGTCTGTCTCTCTCACTGTCTAACTCTGCCTGTAAAAAATAAAAACACATGGAGACTGAACAACATGCTCCTGAATGAACAATGGGTCATAGAAGAAATTAAAAGAGAAATCAAAAATTTTCTGGAAGTAAATGAGGATAACAGCACAACATACCAAAACTTATGGGACCCAGCAAAAGCAGTGTTAAGAGGAAAGTTTATATCAATAGGTGCCTACATCAAGAAATTGGAAAGGCACCAAATAGATGAGCTTTCAATGCATCTCAAGGATCTAGAAAATCTGCAGCAAACCAGACCCAAATCTAGTAGGAGAAGAGAAATAATTAAAATCAGAGAAGAAATCAACAGGATTGAATCCAAAAAAAAACATTACAAAAAATCAGCCAAATGAGGAGCTGGTTTTTTGAAAAAATAAACAAAATTGACACCCCATTGGCCCAACTAACCAAAAAAAAAAAAGAAGAGAAAAGGCCCAAATCAATAAAATCAGAGATGGAAAGGAAATGTAAGACACCACAGAAATAAAAAGAATCATCAGAAATTACTACAAGGACTTGTATGCCAGCAAACAGGGAAACCTATGAGAAATGGATAGATTCCTGAACACATGCAACCTACCTAAATTGAACCAGGAAGACATAGAAAACCTAAACAGACCCATAACTGAGACAGAAATTGAAACAGTAATAAAGGCCCTCCCAACAAAGAAAAGCCCAGGACCAGATGGATTCACTGCTGAATTCTACCAGGCATTTAAAGAAGAACTAACTCCAATTCTTCTCAAACTATTCAGAACAATTGAAAAAGATGGAATCCTCCCAAATTCTTTCTATGAAGCCAGCATCACCTTAATTCCTAAGCCAGAAAAAGATGCATCATTGAAAGAGAATTACAGACCAGTATCCCTCATGAACATAGATGCAAAAATCCTCAATAAAATTCTGGCCAATAGAATGCAACAACACATCAGAAAGATCATCCACCCAGACCAAGTGGAATTTATCCCTGACATGCAGGGATGGTTTAATGTGCACAAAACAATCAATGTGATACACCACATTAACAGACTGCAGAAGAAAAACCATATGATTATCTCAATAGACGTAGTGAAAGCATTTGATAAAATACAACACCATTTCATGATGAAAACTCTAAGCAAACTGGGTATGGAAGGAACATTCCTCAATACAATCAAAGCAATTTATGAAAAACCCACAGCCAACATCCTATTGAATGGGGAAAAGTTGGAAGCATTTCCACTGAGATCTGGTACCAGACAGGGATGCCCACTCTCACCACTGCTATTTAACATAGTTCTGGAAGTTCTAGCCAGAGCTATTAGGCAAGAAAAAGAAATTAAAGGGATACGAATTGGGAAGGAAGAACTCAAACTATCCCTCTTTGCAGATGATATGATTATTTAGGGGATCCAAAGAACTCTACTAAGAGACTATTGGAACTCATAGAAGAGTTTGACATAGTAGCAGGATACAAAATCAATGCACAAAAATCAACAGCCTTTGTATACACGGGCAATGCCACGGCTGAGGAAGAACTTCTAAGATCAATCCCATTCACAATAGCTACACAAACAATCAAATACCTTGGAATCAACTTAACCAAGGACGTTCAAGATCTCTACGATGAAAATTACAAAACCTTAAAGAAAGAAATAGAAGAGGATACCAAAAAATGGAAAAATCTTCCATGCTCATGGATTGGAAGAATCAATATCATCAAAATGTCCATTCTCCCAAAAGCAATTTATAGATTCAATGCAATACCAATCAAGATACTGAAGACATTCTCAGATCTAGAAAAAATGATGCTGAAATTCATATGGAGACACAGGAGACCTTGAATAGCTAAAGCAATCTTGTACAACTAAAACAAAGCCGGAGGCATCACAATACCCGATTTCAGGACATACTACAGGGCAGTTGTTATCAAAACAGCATGGTACTGGTACAGAAACAGATGGCTAGACCAATGGAACAGAATAGAAACACCAGAAATCAATGCAAACATCTACAGCCAACTTATATTTGATCAAGGATCCAAAACCAATCCCTGGAGTAAGGACAGTCTATTCAATAAATGGTGCTGGGAAAACTGGATTTCCACATGCAGAATCATGAAGCAACACCTCTACCTTTCACCTTACACAAAAATTCACTCAACATGGATTAAAGACTTAAATCTACGACCTGACACCATCAAATTATTAGCATTGGAGAAACTCTGCAAGATATAGGTACTGGCAAAGACTTCTTGGAAAAGACCCCAGAAGCACAGGCAGTCAAAGCCAAAATTAACATTTGGGATTGCATCAAATTGAGAAGTTTCTGCACTGCAAAAGAAACAGTCAGGAAATTGAAGAGGCAACCAACAGAATGGGAAAAAATATTCGCAAACTATGCAACAGATAAAGGGTTGATAACCATAATCTACAAAGAGATCAAGAAACTCCACAAGATCAAAACAAACAACCCACTTAAGAGATGGGCCAAGGACCTCAATAGACATTTTTCAAAAGAGGAAATCCAAATGGCCAACAGACACATGAAAAAATGTTCAAGATCACTAGCAATCAGGGAAATGCAAATCAAAACCACAATGAGGTTTCATCTCACCCCGGTTAGAATGGCTCACATTCAGAAATCTACCAACAACAGATGCTGGAGAGGATGTCGGGAAAAAGGGACACTAACCCACTGTTGGTGGGAATGCAAATTGGTTAAGCCACTATGGAAGTCAGTCTGGAGATTCCTCAGAAACCTGAATATAACCCTACCATACAACCCAGCCATCCCACTCCTTGGAATTTACCCAAAGGAAATGAAATTGGCAAACAAAGAAGCTGTCTGCACATTAATGTTTATTGCAGCTCAATTCACAATAGCTAAGACCTGGAACCAACCCAAATGCCCATCAACAGTAGACTGGATAAAGAAATTATGGGACATGTACTCTATAGAATACTATACAGCAGTCAAAAACAATGAAACCCGGTCATTTGCAACAAAATGGAGGAATCTGGAAAATATTATGCTGAGTGAATTAAGCCAGTCCTAAAGGGACAAATATCATATGTTCTCCCTGGTCGGCGACAACTAACAGCACCGAAGGGGAAGCCTGTTGAAGTGAAAATGGACACTATGAAAAACAGTGACTTGATCAGCTCTCGTCCTGAATGTTGATGTACAATGTAATACTTTATCCATTTTAGTATTTTCTCTTTGTTTTGTTCTAGTACTATTGGTTGAACTCTGTGATTAACACACAATTATTCTTAGGTGTTTAAATTTTAACTGAAAAGTGATCTGTGTTAAATATAAGAGTGGGAATAAGAGAGGGAAGAGATGTACAATTTGGGACATGCTCAATCGGAGGACTTGCCCCAAATGGTGGAGTTAGAATCATGCCAGGGGATCCCAATACAATCCCATCAAGGTGGCATGGACGAATGCCATCTCACTAGTCCAAGTGATCAATTTCAGCTCACAATTGATCAGTTCACACTGATAGGTCTAAGAGTCAAAGGGATCGCACAAACAAGTCTAGTGTCTGCTAATACTAGCTGATAGAACCAAAAAGGGAGAGAATGATCCATCATGGGAAGCGGGATACACAGCAGACTCATAGAATGGCAGATGTCCTAAATAGCACTCTGGCCTCAGAATCAGCCCTTAAGGCATTCGGACATGGCTGAAGAGCCCATGAGAGTATTTTAGGCATGGAAAGCCAAGACACCCTGGGGAAAAAAAAAAGGAAGACCTAAATGGAAGATCTCTGTGAGTAAGATCCCAGCGGAAAGAATTGGTCCATCAAAGAAGGAGGTACCTTTCTCTGAAGGGAGGAGAGAACTTCCACTTTGACTCTGACCCTGTCGGAATAAGATCGAAGTCGGCGAACTCAAAAGGCTTCCATAGCCTTGGCAACTCGTGACTAGAGCCTACGGAGATTACTGATGCCATAAACATGAGTGTCAAATTGTTAAGTCAACAACAGGAGTCACTGTGTACTTACTTCTCATGTGGGATCTGTCCTTAGTGTGTTGTCCAATGTGAAGTAATGCTATAACTAGTACTGAAACAGTATTTTACACTTTGTGTTTCTGTGTGGGTGCAAACTGATGAAATCTTTACTTAATATATACTGAATTGATCTTCTGTATATAAAGATAATTGAAAATGAATCTTGATGTGAATGGAATGAGAGAGGGAGCGGGAGATGGGAGGGGTGTGAGTGGGAGGGAAATTATGGGGGGGGAGCCATTGTAATCCATTAACTGTACTTTGAAAATTTATATTTACTAAATAAAAAAAATAAAAAAATAAAAATAAATTTGTCTTATATTTGGGTATTTTATTTGTGTTGATCACAATCAAAAAGAGTGACTAGTATTTGCTAATATTCTTTATGCCAGTTTGAAATGCAAAACTGCATCATATGTCTAATGCCACATCCCTGGCCAAATTTGTATGCTGTTAGATCTTTTCCCGATCCCATCTTCTTGCCCCTAAACCTGAACATTGTGTGTTTTCTATTTGAATAAACAATTTGATAGCTTTAAAAATCTCTTTCCAGGTTTCATCACCCAAACATACTGGAGTTGGCTGCGTATTTTGCAGAGGCTGAGCAGTTCTGTCTGGTTTATCCATATATGAGAAATGGCACACTTTTGGACAGATTACAGTGTATTGTAAGTCATACTCATTGTTCTGCTTGGTCCTTTGACCCTCTGATCCCCCAAGGGAACTGCTGAACCCCTCTAAGAGAGCTGAGAGGACATCAGGGGATGGCCATGAGTGGGTTTCCTAAGGAAGTAGAGGACCTCTCTAGGAATTCTTTCTAGTAGAAGACTGCATGAGTACCTGAGTTACAGTGTTCTGTGTAACGTGGTTACCAAAAGATTTGCTAGGTCCTTCTCCTTGTTGATTACATTCTCCCATTGAATTTATATTGGCTGTCCTTATTTTTCAGATAACTTTATTTAGTGTAACTTTATACAAAGTATAATTCAATACAAAGGATAGACATAAAAAGTCTACTAAAGGGTTTCTTGTAAGATGCTTTTGAAGGGTAAATCTAAAAAGAGATTCCAAATAGGTGAACCTTGAGCTAAGGATGATAATAAAGCAGATATTCTCAATCATCCACACTATTGTGCAACAAATAATTTAAAAATATTATTTAATGAACTTTGTAAAATGATTTATTTGTTTTTTAAGAAAGCTTTTATTTAATAAATATAAATTTCATAGGTAAGGCTTCTGGAATATATCAGTTCTTCCCCCCATATCCACCTTCCCACCCCCAAACTGTCCCACCTCCTACTCCCTCTCCCATCCCATTCTTCATTGAGATTCATTTTTAATTATCTTTATATACAGAAGATCAACTCAATACTAAGTAAAGATTTTAAAAGTTTGCACTTATACAGACAAAGTATAAAGCACTGTTTGAAGACAAATTTTACCATTAATTCTCATAGTACAACTCATTAAGGACAGAGGTCCTACATATGGAGCACAGTTACTCCTGTTGTTGATTTAACAATTGACACTCCTTTTATGATGTCAGTGATCACCCACGGCTCTTGTCATGAGCTGCCAAGGCTATGGAAGCCTTTTGAGTCCACAAACTGAAATTATTTAGACAGGGCCATAATCAAAGTAGAAGTTCTCTCCTCCCTTCAGAGAAAGGTACCTCCTTCTTTGATGGTCCTTTCTTTCCACTGGGATCTCACTCACAGAGATCTTTCATTTAGATCATTTTTTTGCCATAGTGTATTGGCTTCCCATGCCTGAGAAACTCAATTGGGCTTTTAAGCCAGATCCGAATGCCTTAAGGGCTAATTCTGGGGTCAGAGTGCTATTTAGGGCATTTGTCATTCTATGAATCTGCTGTGTGGCCTGCTTCCCCTGTTGGGTAATTCTCTCCTTTTTAAGTCTATCAATTATTATTAGCAGACACTTGTTCTTATTTATGTGATCTCTTTAACACTTAATCCTATATGTATGATCAGTGTACACTTAGTATGATCACTTTAAAATATGAGATGGCATTAGTACATGCCAACTGAATGGAATTTGGAGTCTCATGGCAATATTTTAGCTTTACCCTTAGGTGTAAGTCCGTGGGAACATGTGCTGAACTGTGTATCTCCTCCCTATCTTATTCCCACTCTTATTTTTAACAGGGATAGATTTTCCACTGGATTTAAACACCTATTTCTGTGTTAAGTAAAGAGTTCAACCAATGGTATTAAGTAGAAAAAGAATATACAAAAAAGAATAAAATAGTAAGCTGTTCCTCAACAGTGAGGACAAGGGCTGATCAAGTCAGTTTCTCATAGTGTCCATTTCACTTCTACAGATTTCCTTTTAGGTCTCAGTTAGTTGTCACAGATCGGGGAGAACATATGATATTTGTCCCTTTGGGACTGGCTTATTTCACTCAGCATAATGTTTTCCAGATTCCTCCATTTCGTTGCAAATGACCAGATTTCATTTTTTTCCCGCTGTGTAGTATTTCATAGAGTACATATCCCATAATTTCTTTACCCAGTCTTCCACTGATGGGCATTTAGATTGATTTCATGTCTTAGCTATTGTGAATTGAGCTGCAATAAACATTGAGGTGCAGACAGCTCTTTTATTTGCCAATTTAATTTCTCTTCAGTAAATTCTGAGAAGTGGGAGGCTGGGCCATATGGTAGGACTATATTCAGATTTCTGAGGTATCTCCAAACTGTCTTACATAGTGGTTTTACCAGTTTGGAGTCTCACCAACAGTGGGTTAGTGTGCCTTTTTCCCCACATCCTTGCCAGCATCTGTTGTTTTTTTGATTTCTGTATGAAAGCCATTCTAACCAGGATGAGGTGAAACCTCATTGTGGTTTTGATTTGCATTTCCCTGATGACTAGTGATCCTGAACATTTTTTTCATGTGTCTGTTGGCCATTTGGCCCATCTTTTAAAAATGTTTGAGTCCTTGGCCAATCTCTTAAGTGTGTTGTTTGTTTTGTTGTTGTGGAGTTTCTTGATCTCTTTGTAGACTCTGGTTATTAACCCTTTATCAGTTGCATAGTTTGCAAATAATTTCTCTCATTCTGTTGGTTTTCTCTTCACTTTCCTGACTTTCTTTTGTCATATAGAAACTTCTCAACTTGATGTAATTCCAGTTGTCAATTTTGGCTTTGGCTGCCTGTGCCTCTGGAGTCTTTTCCAAGAAATCTTTTCTGTGCCTATATCTTGCAGAGTTTCTCCGATGTTCTCTAATAATTTGATGGTATCAAGTCATAGATTTAATCTATGTTGAGTGGATTTTTGTGTGAGGTGTAAGATAGGGGTCTTGCTTCCTACTTCTGCATGTGGAAATCCAGCTTTCCCAGCACCATTTGTTGAATAGACTGTCTAATAAACTTTTAAATAGTGTCATCATGCTAGGCATTGTTTATGAAGAAACTGAGAACTGTTATTGGTGATAGAGAGAAACCCATTTAGAATTAAAAATAGATTGTGGTAGGGCAGACATTTAGCTTAGGAGTTAAAACACTGAGTTAAGACATTGTACATTGGAGTGCTTGAGTTCACTACCTGGTTCTAGCTTCTAAGGCTATGAAAGCCTTTATCTATTTATTTATCACTGTGGCAGATCGCAGAGTGGACAGTGAGAGAGACAGAGAGAGAAAGGTCTTCCTTTGCCGCTGGTTCACCCTCCAATGGCCGCCGCTGCAGCCGGCGCACCGCGCTGATCCTGGCAGGAGCCAGGAGCCAGGTGCTTTTCCTGGTCTCCCATGGGGTGCAGGGCCCAAGCACCTGGGCCATCCTCCACTGCACTCCCTGGCCATAGCAGAGAGCTGGCCTGGAAGAGGGGCAACCGGGACAGAATCCGGCGCCCCAACCGGGACTAGAACCCGGTTTGCCGGCGCCGCAAGGTGGAGGATTAGCCTATTGAGCCACGGCGCCGGCTCTGGTTCTAGCTTCTGACTCCAGTTTCTGCCAATGTAGAATCCAGAGGCAGCAGTAATGGTTCAACTAGTTTGACCACTGCCACCCGACATGGGAGATCTGCACTGAGTTCTCGGCTCTCAGCTTCAGCCCAGCCAGTCCCCGCTGTTACAGGCATTTTGGAGCAAACCAGCAGATGAGAGAGATCTTTGTCTAGCTGTTACTCTAACTCTCAAATTTAAAAAAGTAGATTGTGACAAGTTAAGACATCTTCTATTTTGGGATACTACTATACAATGAATCTCAGTGGCTTTTACTCATAAAGCATAACCAAACCAACTGTTGTTATCTTTTTAGGGTGACACAGCTCCACTTTCTTGGGATGTTCGAATCAGTATATTAGTAGGAATATCTAGAGCCATTCTGTACCTGCACAACATTCAACCATGCTCGGTCATCTGTGGCAGTATATCAAGGTAAATGGTCCCAGAACTTTAGCTTACACATAACTCCTTTCTTTGTCACAGGTAAGTCACACTTCACACTATTCTGTCCCTAGCTTTCCTGGTATGTATGTATGCATATTAAAAAACTTCTGAATATTTCACATCTGACCTTTTCATTAATGAAAATGTATCTACTGAATTTAAAAAGCTACATTTATGTTGCCAAAGAGAGTTAATATTATCTTTGGGAATTATTAATGAACAATGTAGATAGACAGTTCTGTGTATTTTATTAATTATACCTATTTGCAGACTGGGGAATGAGCCTGTATTAATCTCACAATTTTAACTGAGGCTTAAGGAAAGGTTAAGGTGACTTATACAGGGACTCCTAGAAAGATAACAACAGTAAGTGGCAATTAAAATTCTTTGTCCTTGAGTCACTGATGCCTTGTTCATTCAACTGAGCCTTCAGCCTGATAACTTTATGTATTTATTTATGACAAGCCATGCAGCAATCCCAGTGTGTATTTTTGATAAATGATGAAATTATAAACAACATCTTCAGTCTGTCTTCTCCTTCTTCAGTGGGCATAAAGAATCATTCAGATAGAGTGAGTACCCTGTAGCAAAAAGCCCTCTGGTGGATGTTTCCTGTGTACTCTTTATCTTGAATCTATCCAGAAGTACATTAATATACCTGCACTGAGTATCAGGGAAAACTGGATGGAAAAGACTGCTGGCTCCTCTGAACCTTTTCCTAGAATCTTAAAGCTTTTAGTGTGCTTTTGACTTCAGTAGCAGAGGGACTTATTGCTTCCTTATTTGTTCTTTTCCCTCTGGGGAAATGAACTCCATTTGATAAGACTCTAGATTTTTAGTTAGTCTTGGATGAGCGGAGGGAGCTCCTTGTAGATGTATGCCCCTGTTCTGGTGTGGAAAATTATTTACTTTTAATGGCTCCAATCAACACAAAATTGATGCACCCTTATGGAATCTGGACATAGAGGTATTGGGAACATCCCAGCAGTTGGTGAAATCATTCATTAGGGTCAGTTCCAAAGGGCAGAGGTGACCACTCTCAACCTAAACAATTTCTTTCCAGCTTGTAAGCATCACTGAGGATATACATTTTACTGAGTCAATAGCTGTCCAGAATTTTGCTGTCCATATTCTTCCTTTGGCTCAAAATAATCCTGATTTTATTTTAAATCCCATGTATCAATATATTAATTTTATTGTTTCCTTTTGAGTGGCTGTGTCCATCAAGTACTTTTCTGGAAGCTGAGTTTGAAGGAGAGAGAAGAGAGGTAGAAGGTTCTAGGTTCTGATTTTTAATGGGGAAATGGGGCTGGGCATTGTCAGGCAGCATATTAAGCCATTGCCTGCGATGCTGGCATCCCATATAGGAGTGCAAGTTCAAATCCTGGCTGCTCCACTTCTGATCCAGCTCCCTGCTATTGTGCCAGAGAAGGCACTAGAAGATGGTCCAAGTGCTTGGGCCCCTGCCACCCATGTGGGATATAAGGATGGAGTTCTTAGTTCCTAATTTCATCCTGGCCCAATATTGGCCATGGCAGCCATTTGATGTAGTGAATTGGTAGATGGAAGATTCTTTCTCTCTCTCTCCTTTCAGAATAAATAAAAAATTTTAAAACATAGACGAGAGGGACAAGGAGGACCATCAGCTAGAGCAGAGAGCAACATCTAGATGGGGAGGGGGCAGGCTTAGGGAAAGACTAAGGATAATGGGTAAAGACTTGTGCATGTAGATCTTTTAGTGGGAGCTTATGGTAAAGAAGGGAAGTAAGACAAAATTGGGCAGCTGGAGAGCATGAGCTGGGCTCTTATAAAAGAGGTCTCTGCTGATATCCTGGGGAAGTTCTGAAGCTGGAGTGGTCTTTCAGAGGTATCCCCAAATAAAAGATAGGGTGCTTGGGCTTTGCTTCCCCGTGTCTGTCCAGTCATGTTGTGGGGCTATAATTTGGATGAAGTAAGCCTCCTACCAAGGACAATTCCCAGGCTTGGTCTCCATTGTGGTCATCATCAGCCAGTCTTCTTTTTAGGGGAGCAAGAGCCTCCCAGGCACCTGAGGAGGGAACTAGGAAATGGCAGTGGAGGGAGTGACACTACACAGTCACACAGTCATGGAGGAAGATTTGACTGGATGGAGCTTTGAATAATGTGACCCAAGGATTTTTCATTTTTTGTGCTTTCCTCCTCACCCTTCTCCCATCTTTTCCTTTTAGCTGAGTATTTCTTAATGTTTCAACAAGAGACTCTAATTTACAAAGCAGATGTTCCACTTGAAATATGACTCTAAACCAATTGCTTAATGTCTATAAGTCTCAGTTTTCCCTCTACAGAATGCTAGTAGTAAATGATAGCTTCCATCTATTAGGAATAAATGACATAAGTTACTTGTGATCCTTAGCAAGGAGTACACACTGACCCCATGGGAACTCCTGCCATTATTGGTCAAGAAACTGTAGGAGTTGCACGGACAGGCTAAGCAATATGGTAGCTGATCAGTCTATTTTACTTTCTACTCTTTCACTTACAACCATCGTCAATTTACTATGTTTGGAAGTACACCCAAAAACCAAGCTCTAATTTAAGAAACCTCACATGTGTATTAATATGTCTATCAGATATTTTGAGAATCACATTCATTTTAGTTCACAAATATTTTTGGAACATCTGTTAAGTGCAGCAAATTGTGTTAGACCATAGTGGGGGAGATGTTGGTAGTAATAGTCTTGTTCTTGAAGATTCAACCTGGCGATCAGGGAGATAACACACAGAAACAGTGTACCTTTACAGTAAATGTGCCCAAAACATCATTGGCCTTAGAAGGCTTTCTCTGTTTAAAGAGTTCCAAGCCAAGTCCTGGACAGAGCAGGTCATGGCAATGGACTGGCTGAAAGAGGGGGAGGGATATTCCTGGTGGAAGCCATTATCTTTTCAAGAAAACTGAGCTAAGATCTGTCAAGTACATAACAAAAGTAAGAAAGGAATGTTTGGCTAGAGAGGAAAGAACAAGATGGGAGGAAAGCTAAGAGGAGGCTTGAGAATATGGTGGGTAGGGGAATCATATTGAGCCTTGAACACCAAAAGGGCTGAAGAACTATGTTTGATAAACTGGGCTCTAGTGAGAGACTCTGAGTATTGTCTGGGATATAGGTGGGCAATGAAAGATTCTAGAGTCTCATTGGTCATCTCATAACCTAAAAGGCAGTCAGTTCTTCCAATCCAGTGCCCCAGTTACTTATTTGAATATGCAAAACTAGAAAATCCTTTAAACAGCACTGATGGACAGAACACCCAAGGGGTAATAAAAATATGGTATGATATGGAAGAGACAGGGCTTGAATAAGAAATGTAGCTACCAATGCTTTTGATTTTTCAGTTGGTAGAGGGGATGCTGATGATTGATGCCACAAAAATACCTGAGAGGAGCATCTTATGAAGAAAGAAGGGTTATTTTATCTTATGGTTTGGAGGTTCACAGTGGCCACATTAATTCAGGCTTCTGGTGAAGCGGGAAGATGGTGGAGGGACAGTCACATGGAGAGTCATGAAGCAGAGAGGGAAGCTGAGCCAAACTTAGATAACCAACCCTCTCTCAAGAACTACCTTCCAAGGGCACACCCAATGACTTAAGGACTTCCCATTGTGCCCATTTCCAAGATGCTGAAACAAGGTTAAATCTTCACCCCTAATCCATTAACCATTAATAAAAGACATTAAGATTGAAATATCTGTGTGAATGTGTGGAGCCAAATCCTGCTTAAACCATCATAATGCCCTTCTGGGTTCTCCAGAGTTTGAAGACTCAAATGTAACATATCCATGCATGTACCTGCCTATGTCAGAGTGTGGTCTGCCAAAGTTGTGTGCATCCCATTTGAGAATTGTGGCTTTGCAAGGCTGCATGAATGTGAATCTGCCTGTTCCAGAGCACATCAGCTCCTTCCACAGCCATTGAACTCTCGCCCTTTTGCTGAGCTGCTAGCAAAGATGTTAATTAATGCCAAGTATAACTATAGATATCCTCCCTCTTATTTGCGATGTGTACACCTGTTCTCTAGAAACTGGAGTGAGACCAAGTCAGTTCATTCAAGCCGCAGAACATCTGTCAGATGGTAATGACATTCACTCCCCAGAGGTCTCTGTGAAATGTGAATTGGCTGACCCAGTTCATCCTCCCAAATCTCTTCTAAATGAGTCCTACATTTTGCTCTAAACCCGGGCCTCCTTGATTCTTGGTCTCTTTCTGTACTGCCGAGAGCTTTTAGGAGGGTATGAAATCCTGCCTCTTCTGCCTTTGTCATACTAATTTTCTGAATCTTCAAGGAAAGACAGCTTCTGGGAGGGAATGCTGTTTTATTGTACAGCTCTGATATTTGGCTCAGAAAAGAACATCTCAAAATCTATTAAACAGTGACCTTTTCTATGGATAAGTCAAAGATTTGTTTTTGTTGGTGGAGTGAGAAATGCAAGATTTTTTTTTACCTTTCTTTTCTTTTTGAAATTCAGGCTTCAGACCAGTGAGTCACAGAAGAATGTGTCATAAAATCATATGCCATTATTAAATCATGTTTTTAATGGTATGAAATAACATAGAACAATGTTTATAAAGTGAGACTAAAGGGAAAAAGCCAAATTGATGTATTACACAGCATATAACTTTGTAGAGCTACAAATTCATGTATTAAAGAAAGATTAAGACATACAAAAATATCAATCAGAGGCCAGTGTTGTGACTCAGCAGGTTAACCTGCTGCTTATAATGCTGGCATTTCATATCAGAAAACCACTTCAAGTCTAGCTGCTCCACTTCTGACCCAGCTCCTTGCTAATGTGCCTGGGAAGACAGCAAAAAATACCCAAGTACTTGGGCCCCTGCTTCCCATGCGGGAAACTCAGATGGAGTTCCTGCCTCCTGGCTTCTGCCTGGCCCAGATCTGGCCATGTGGGGAGTGAACCAGCAGATGGAAGATCTCTCTCTCTCTGTCTCTCTTTTTCTG